TAGTGAACCAACGCAAAGTCGCAAAACGAAAACAATAGTCGTTCAGGGACAAAGCCTCTTTGGACTAAAAATAAAACTCGACAAGTCGGGTAAGAAAGTGGGTGTATATTTGGTGCTGCCGATTGCAATAAAAAACGGAGGTGAACAACTAGATATTATAGCAGTCTCCCAATATGTATAAAATTTCAACATTCTACCTCTAGTCGTTTACGAGTGATGCGAGATGGATATATACGTCACGAAAAGAACCCTTCTAAATGCATTTTGAATCCTTTTTACAATCCGTTTTGTAAAAAATAATTGTCCTTTATTCTGTACGGATATACAGATGTCAAGCAAAAAAGTCATTCAAATGGATTCGAAAGCAGTCAAAAGGATATTTTTGTTGAAATATCATACCAGAAATTTTTCGAGATTACAATACTATCTTTATTTCGTACAAGGAAGTAAAAACGTATGTAGTTTCTTTCTAATTAGTTTTATAACAAGCGTTGCATTGTTATTTTTGGTGTAAGCTAAAAATGCTGAAAAACGTTCAGCAAACTTCATTTTATGTTCAATATTGCATCTCTGGTCTAGGCAAGTAAGATCGTCTGTTATACGAACTTTAACTTGAGAGGTTTGTGAATTTCCAAAACTTAGAAAAATAATTTATTGTAAAGCCACACACATATTTTTCTCAAGATGCTTATCCATTCACGAGATCACCATTTAAATTAAGTTACGTTTTTGAATATTAAAGTACAAAAGCTTTTGAACCTTACCATAGCTCCTCTAGGAAAAACTAAAGCTTTACAAATGAATAACACCAATTCTTATTGTTAAATTTAAAAAAAAAAAAAAAATTAATCTGAAAGCTTTCAGACTTTATATTAAGTTCAAAGGGGCGTTTTTTTAAAGCTTTGTGTTTTACCTGTATATATGAAATATTATGTTCTTCGCCCTTAAACCACATAAAATTCAATTCAACAGCAATATCACAAAATAATTTAAAAAGAACGTATCTTTAGAATTTCCAATACACAACTTCGCACCCTGGGTATAAAAATGTTTTTTTTTTTTTTTTTTTTTTTTTTCGTACAGTGTTGCCATTGCTCGCTTTGAAATTGTTGAGTTTGTTAATCAAAAACTCGTTAAAATTTTGCAAAATATGAATTAGATAATAGAAGAAATTCCAAATTCGGGCTTCCAGAGGCCCATATTCGAGTGGAGGACATCGTTATTCAAAATTGATGACTGTACCTACAGTCGTTTTATCACAATCTGAGAAACATACATACATTCAGCCAGATTCTTCATTATTTAATTTCTGTATACATAATACAAGGTTTTAATATTTGCTGGCAACAATCTGAAAAGTGAAATGCCGTTTTATGGTTACAGCCGAAAACATCGCGGCGGAAATATCGCGGACGGAAATGTCGTAGGGAAACCAACGCAAGAAGAAAACGTTGTGGTGCAAAACATCGTGGAAGAAAATATGGCAAAGAGAAAGCATCGTGGTTCTAAAATATCGTGGCATAAAATATCGTGGCCGAAAATAAAGTGGTTCAATTACACTGCTCGGCACTGAAAATGCTACAACAAGAAAGAGTGGTCAGAAAGTGATGAAATTTGGAAAAGAGATAGAGACAGCAAGCAGCAATAAGTGATCTTTATTTCAAAATGATAGTCAGAATACAGAGCGGAGAATGGCGACGGCTCAGTAGGATAGGTGACAGGTGACGGGGGACGTGTGCGCCATCCCTTTACCATAATGGTTAATTGGCATGTGCAACACGTCCACCTCTTACCTAGAGCCGAAAGGGCGCCTCGCATCTGGCGCCGAAACCCAACGCCCGAACCATCCAAGAGGCAGTCCAACACACCAAATGAGCCCCCAGAAACATATTCTCACCAACCGTTCACACCCAGTATTGATTGAACATAAGTACAACAATACATGGCCAACAAGGGCTCAGAATACTACATAGATGGTACTACAGGCGGTGCAAGACACATAAATACAATACCAAGAACTATACAAAATATACCCTACGGAAATATGCACAGGAACATAAATTACAAAATAACATTACAGATTCACTACCATTAATGTTATATAACATAAGTAATTGCAAGATAAAGATAAATATAGACACAAAAATTTTACCAAAAATAGCAAATAATAGTAATGCAATGTAATTCCTATACAATACATGTATGTCTAAACAAAGTTAATGATACAGTATCATTAGTACTAATGCCAAAAACCAATGCTATATATGGCTCATAATACTGTAATTCAATGCAATTCCCATAGAGTCAATAAGAGTGCGGATGGTCTCCTGAGGGATGGCTTTCGATTCCCTTTCAACCATTGTCCACAGTTCGTCTTCTGAAAGAGGCAGAGTCTGCAAAGGCGTCCAATCACATCTCACACATGTTCGATTGGTAACAGGTCAGGAGAGTACGGTGGCCAGGGAAGCATCTGTATACCTTGCAGAGCATGTTGGCAGATGCGAGCACTGTGTGGTCGGGCGTTATCCTGTTGAAAAATTGCATTAGGCAGTCCCTGAAGGTAGGGGATTGCCACCGGCCTCAGTACATTATCCAAGTATCGTTGGTCCGTCATAATGCCCTGAATACGAACTAGAGGTGACCTGGAATCGTAGGCAATAGCGCCCCAAACCATTATGCCACGTTGTCACGTGGTGGAGCGTTCCACAGTTACTGCCGGATGAGGTCTGTCTCCACGTTGACGCCACACACGTACGCGGCGACTGTCACTGGATAAACAGAAGCGTGATTCATCTGAGAACACGACGTTTCGCCATTCTGTCATCCACGTCGCTCCAGTCCGGCACCATTCTAAACGTTCGCGTCCATGCTGTGGGGGTCAATGGCAGTCTTCTTAACGGACGCCGTGAGTGCAGGCCACGTTCAACCAATCGGCGGTAAATGGTTCTGGTCGACACGGGAACATCCAGGGTATCTTGTACATGCTGCAGAATCGTGGTACAAGTGACTTGCGGGACCGCCACGGCTTGTCGACGAATGCGTGGAACCACGCGTGCTGACGTCACCCTGGCTGCACCTGCACCCCTCCTTCTTCCCACATTTCCTTGTTCCAACCATGTTCGCCATACGCACCGTGCTCGTATCCATGTGGGTATCAGCTGCGATTTGACGTAAGGACCAATCCGCTCTTCTTAGTTCGATCACCATACCCCTCGTAAAATCGTCTATCTGCTAGAAGTGCCTTCGTTGACGGCGGCCTGGCATTCTCTCCTATTACACGTATGCTCCGGGACAAAAACCAACTTTCTTCGATAATTCGTCTGGCAGAAATAAGGACACGAATATTGCCCATTCGGCACGTTCCTTCCCTTATATCTTTCTTCACGTGCGTCGGAAAGCTGCGCATTTCACATCATTCGCATAACTCAGTGACGTGCGTCTAAAATTTGCATAAATTTCTGACCACTCCTTCTTGGTGTTGCATTTTCAATGTGGAGCAGTGTACTTTTCACTGTTTAAAAACATCGTAGTCGAAAATATCGTGGTAGAAAATAAAGTACCTAAAAATCATCGCATGACGATAATATCACATACATGCGTTTTCCAAATCACATAATGACATTAAGACACAATAACACGCCGAATAAATACCAATTCAGAAGTCAAACAACAAAAATCAGCGTTATACCTACAAAATTTTCACAGGACTAGTTTCGATGGTTTTACCGAACCATCATCTTCAGCATCATCTTCAGCTTTTGCGGTTTTGCAGCTGAAGATGATGGTTCGGTAAAACCATCGAAACTAGTCCTGTGAAAATTTTGTAGGTATAACGCTGATTTTTGTTGTTTGACTTCTGAATTCACATAATGACATATTATGTAACTGACTTTCGTCCCAACTAACAAATCGACCTCCAAAAAATTGATTGCACGCAATACATGAAAATGTTAACGACACTTTAAGAATAAACGGAAACAAAACAATTTGTAATTTTCATTAAAAAAATATCAGATTAACAAATGTGAAAGAAAATAATTTTATCATTACCTAAGCAATTTTTAGAGAGGTAACCTCATGCAGTTATTTATCTTGTTTTTCCTTAGCATTTTCACACTGTATTTTTTGTGAAAAATTATCAGTTAAACTTTGTAAAAAATTTTAATTTATTAATGACCTTTGTTAATTAACTATACAAATTTAAAATTCTACTAAGCTTTTAAAGTTGCATTAATTGTCTACTCATTTTCAATTTTTAAGTGCTTAAGTTTCCTTCTTATTTTTCCAGCACAAATTTACTAGTTCGTTCGTTCAAATATATGAAATATAGAAGCAAAAAAAAATCTCTCTTTCCTTCTTGCGCTTTGTGACCTTTATATGAATATGCATTTACAACTTTCAAAACCTGAAAACGCATGTGCGCGATGTTATTGTCATACGATGATTCATAGGTACTTTATTTTTTAACACTATATTTTTGACGACGATGTTTTAAAATTGGAAGTTTTTGAGCCGCTTTATTTTCGACCACGATATTTTGTTCCACGATGTTTTAGAACTGCGATGTTTTCTCCCACGATGTTTAGTACCACGACGTTTTCTCTCTGCGTTGTTTTGTCCACTACGTTTTCTTCCGCTAGGTTTTCGGTGGACACCCCGTTTTATACTGGACGACGTAAAATGCCAAAACGAAATTAATAAACCTTCTGGGCAAATTGTCCCTTTGAGCTAAGTATGCAATAGGTGTGTTGAATATGTAAAGTAATCCTGTAATTCAGTAAGTTTGTGAACATTTTTCTAAAATTCCTCGCAAAGTTTCAATATAATACTAGACTTTAGAATTATTTTAAAATGTTTGCTCAGTTGAATGGTGATAGAAGAAAGTCATTTTTAGTAACTTAGAAATGAAGTCTCTTGAATTTCTGGGTTTCTTGTTACAAGTCTGAAAATTTTTACTTTAGAAGAATGGACTTTTATTAATTGTCTTTGACTTTTTTCAGAAGCAAAGCATGTCTAGCGTCCGACTGTGTGGTTCTGAATATCACCATCATGATATCACTATGCCCAGTGGATCTGTAGTCATTTTTCACAGTGATGGAGCAAATAACGGAGCTCGCGGCTTTTCATTCTCATATAAAAATGCAGGTAAGTGAAAATGCGTTGCAGTGTCTTTTACTCTTTTTTTTTTTTTTTTTTTTTTTTTTTTTTTTCCCTTTAAAACTGAAAATTTTTTGACATTTTCTGAAGAATTGTTTGCTTTATTTCTTGTTTCTTACATTGTTTCCGTACAGTAATGTTGTCACTTCGCGTTTACTTTGAATACAGTAAGACCCCGCTTAACGCTGTTTCGCTTAGCGCTGTTTCGGTTTAGCGCTCTTTTATTTCAACCCGGGGATTCTCCGAAATTGTGCGCAGCGCTAGGTTTCCAAATAACATATCCGAAACAGTGTAGTTGTGTTTTTCTTGCTTTTTTTTTATCATTTGAAACAACATTTGTTGACATTATTGTAAATTTGATATATAATACTATAACGATTAATAATACAGTGACAAATAGTATGTATGATCTTTAGTTTTTTTTTTTATCATGGGTGATAATACGAGTAAAACACAAGAAAAGAAAGCAACCAGAAAAAGCATTTCACTGGAAACTCAAATGCAAGTGATTAGAAGATTAGATTCTGGTGAACGTCAATCTCAAATTAGCGCTGCATTGATTTTGGCAACTTCAATAATAAGGACAATTCTTAAGAATAAAGAAAAAATACTGTCATCGGCAACTGCAACTACGACAAGCTCTGCAACTAGAATTACCCGTTCTAGAAATAACATTATAGAGGGAATGGAAAAACGACTGTCTATATGGATTGACGACGAAATTGAACGCAATGTGCCATTAAGCCAATCTATCATAATGCCTTCTTGACAAAAAGGCAGAAAATTGGAAACCCAGAATACACTGAATGATCTGACTGAGAATTTTATTTGTTTTTAAAAGTATATGCGTTTTATATTGTTTTTATTTTTGTAAGAAATAAATGTTTGATTTTATTTTTATTAAAAAAAATTATTAAATTTAATGCCTAACCATTTTTTATCCGTCTTCCCCTAACCCCATTATTTAATGTTAAGATAGCCTCGCTTAGCGCTGTTTTGCATTACGCTCTACTTCGATGGAACGTATCCCCCGCGTTAAGCGGGGTCTTACTGTATTTACTTAATTCGCCTTCCTGCCGTGATATTTACTTCAATAATTTTATCTTATTAGCCCGAAAGGTCGTTAGTCCCGAATGGGATTCAAACTGTTGCCACCGAATTCTATCCTGCTGCATTATATTTAGAGAAACTAAATAATGAAGAATCTGCTTAAATGTATGTATGTTTCTCTCATTGTGGAAAACCAATGGTACCTAGAGCCATCAGATTTTGAATAACGTAGTCCTCCACCCGAACATGGGCATCTGGAAGCCCGAATTTCGTATTTCGAATTTGCTTTGTTCTCTTTTTCATATTTTGTAAAGCTTTAACGAATTTTTTTATCAACAAACTCAACGATTTCAAAGCGAGCAAGGGCAACAATGTACGGAGTAAAATATTTTTATCTCCAGCGCTCGAGACTGCCAATCGGAAATTGTGAGGACATGCTGATTTTATATATTTTGTGATTTTGCTGTTGAATCGAATTTTATGTGGAGTAAGTGTTAAGAGAGAGATATTTAATAGATAAAGTGAACGCAGAAGACGTTAGTAATAAAAAGACAAAAAACATTTTAGTAAAGCTCTTGTAGTAAGAACTCGTTGATATGGTTAACTGAGAAAAGTTAGGGGGAAAAACACAGAAAAATCTACGCCAACAACTTAACGCTGGATCGGGAATTTTGGGATTTTGAACATATGCTGTTCTGCTGCTTTTAAAATTTTTGTAATTTTCCTGTTGGACTCTATATAGCTTAAGTGCTAAGAAAATAAAAGAAGAACTAGAAGTGATAGTGCTAAGAAACTAATGAAGATAGCACGAACAAAAATAAATAAATAAATAAATAAAAATGGAGAAGGAGTGAGCGTAACAGCAGACTGGTAGACTGCAAGTTAAGCGTGAGCGTAAAAACCTTAACAAACCCTTCTGGTCAACTGTTAATATTTGAAATCTCTCAGATTTTTTAAAAATGTATTTATATTTTTTTCTTTGCGCTTTGATTGGTAACGCCGATGTGATCTATTTTTAATAAAGACACTATGTGGATGAAAAATAACTGGACTATAAATTCGCGACGTATAAATATATTTACATCGTCACATTATAAGGTATTTCTCCCACCTTCTTGGCTTGCCTTCGTGGTGTAGTGGTCAGCACACTCAGCGCGTAACTGAGAAGTCCGCGGTTCGATTCCCGACGAAGGCGTTGTTAATTTTTCATCTTTCCTGCTTCCAAAATTATACCTATTGTCTCTACAACATAAATTATAATATATAGTTATTCCTGTCCGAAATCCAATATATATATATTTTTTAAGTTATGTTAGTCTCGTACTGCTACTTTAGTACTGTAAACCCTAATATCCCATTTTTTTAAGTTATGTTTAGTCTCGTACTGCTACTTCAGTACTGTAAACCCTAAAACATGAAAAGCGAGTTCTTGCTATGTCAGAGATAGAATGGCAAAGTCTTACTAACGTTTTTAAAGAATCTTTTCTTTTAAACAGAACATTGAATCTAAAGGTATGTCTTCCTGCTACAAATAACCAAGTTCATAGAAATGCCACTTAAATAAGAAAAGTCAATTCAAATTAAAAATTGGCTAAGACTACAGAGTCAAATAGTAAACTATAAGCTGGCTGAATAAATTACCGGCGAATCAATTTAAAGTTCGGCGGCAAAGAACGCAAAACCGATATGGTTACAACTGCTATAGCAGGCAGAAATTAAACACGCTACGCTAGTACCAAGAGCACTCTCTCAAATGATAAGAAATTATCCTTTTCAGACAGACAGACATTTCCAACTTGGTATAGTCTTTATTTCATCTATCACTTGTCCCCTAGGACTATAAGGTTTTTTTTTTTTTTTTTTTTTTTTTTAACTTCCTTGTAAGAAGTAAAAAGGAAGTATTGTAATCGCGAAAAGTTTCAGGTAGCATATTTCAAAGAAAATATCCATTTTGATCGCTATCGAATGTAATTTAACGATGTTTTTGCTTGACATCTGTACACAAGGACAGGATAAAAGTCTTTTTTCCTCCAAAAAATTCTAAAACTGCTTTAAAATGAATTCTAAAGAGAATTTTTCGGGGCGTCTCTACGTATGTATGTATGTATGTATGTAACTCAAAAACGAGTAGTCTCAGAACGTTGAAAAATTTTGTATATAGGACTGCTATAACATGTAGATGTGCATCTCGTATTTTGCTTCCAATCGGCCGCACCAAACGTATATAAATATATTTATATATATATATCCACTCTGTTACCCGGCTCAGTGATCTCAGTTTCTTTAGTCTTATATATTTGTAAACCTTTGCTTATTAGTTACCACAGTCTTAACGTACCCTTCCAAATAGTTACTCAGTACAAATTCTATCAAATTTTGTGTCTCTGAAATGTAAAAATATTTCATAAGAAATTACTGTACCAGTGTAGTGTATTGTAGCAAATATGAGGGTACACCAATTATTGGTTTTTGTTGTTCCAGAATGCTTACGTTTGTATGAATGATACTCCGAAGGCACATATGGCTGAATTTGTGAAGCACATTAAGTATGTACTTTTCAATGATCCTCACGACTTGATCCTGTATTTGTATGATCCTATATTCCACATTCTGCTCCTAATGTGTATGTGTATTATTTTGTATGGCATATTCTATGTATATATATATATATATATATAATTTATCAAGCAAAGCAGTAAAAACAATTTTGGTCAAGAAAACATCTTGCGCAATATGCTGCAAAATAAGTAAAAAATAAAAATTGTAGAAAGCTCGCCTAAAAGTTACCAAGAGCTGCCGCTCCAAAAGGTTAAAGACGTTTTCAAAAATCAATACACATGAAAAGCAAATCATTAGACATGTAAAACATAAATACAATAAAATTAAATAACAGAAAAAGTTAAAAAGTAAGCGGAAAATGGTAAATTAGCCCAATTCGATATCCAAACAGGCTTTTCAAGGGAAATTTCAATTGTTTGAACGTCGAATCAAGCTAACCCCATTACGCGTTTCGCCGAAACAGACAATTGAAACTTTTACGCTAAAAAATTTTTTGACAAAGTGTCTTGGAAATTTTAATAGTCTCAATTCTCTGTTCCAATTTCCCGACGCGTCCGCTTAGAAAGACACATTAAGGTGTTAAAATATGTAAATCAAAATCAAACTTTCTAAATCTAGTCTAAAATTAAAATCAAAACGAAAATAAATAGCGATGAGCTATTAGTCCTAAAAATACAAATACATTCGGGCTGGGCCTGCAAGCTTAAAGATTAACAATTTAATTTTTTAAATTGTAGATTTTATAAAACTGTAAGAAAACCTGTAGTTAATAATCAATATAAAATTAAAAAAAATTGAGAAAAGAACAACTCAGTGGGTCTTGCTAAGACCAAGAAAAAGTTGTAACAAAAGAAACAAAAAACTGACCTTGGCGATGTAAAGCTGTCCCTCTGGAAAACATGCAGAAAAATGGCTGCTAAACTTTAAGCGTCTTATTTTTGGATGACGTAGGTAGGGGGGAGCGAAGAGTTGTGGGCGTTTAGCCAATGCGAAGTGATTTTCGTTATCTGTAACTCGTCTCCTATTATCGGAGGGGGCCGGAAACCTCGTGAATCGTGTGAAGAGCTCAAAAATGGCGCTTGGCTTGTAGAAGGATGGAAAAATATTTTTTGAAGTGAAAATGGCAAATTCAGCTAAAACTATAAAAACTTGGCCATTAAAGCATGAGAAAAAGGAAAAAATCAGTAATATGTTAAAAAAGTCGTAATTCTTCAAGCTAGCGGGCGATCAAGCTACTATGAAAAATGAAAAAAGCCCGATTTGTTAATAAAAGCAGTAAAATTGGCCACTAAAGAAATTTAAATTTAAAAATATGTACATAATAGTATTTAAGATTAAAGTGCCAAAATTTTTTTGGAGGAAAGAGAATGAATAAACAA